AAGGAAGGAAGGAAGCAAGGAAGCAAGGAACCGCTAAAAGAAATAGAAATACACCTAATCTATGTTGTTTTCACATTCTTCTCCAAGACTGATTGCATTCTTGAGGGCTTCAACGTTGACACAAAAAGGTACCCACGGGCTGCGAGAGCCCGTATCGGAATCATTGGCTTTAAAAGTAACTGCAGCTTTCCATCGAGCTCTCGTATAGGGTACGGCACGTCGGGAGACCATTACGGCATGAAAGACAGCAACTCATGTGGGAATGAAGATGGGAGTAAAAGTATATCAATAGAAGCTTTTGGCTATGTGTTGGTACAGTGACTCAATGTAATAGAGTAGTTTTCGTATGGCTGTGAAAAGCTCAGCGACGTATACGTGCCTTGCCCTGACCATGATATTTTTTTAAATTTTAATTGGCTGATGCTTTTTCTCGCGCCATGTGATTGGTCTGGCAGTGCCGTGACTTTGGCCTGACCGTGTCCGCACCGTGTTTATGCCGGGTATTTGATTGGACGGAGAGTAAATTCTCGCGCAATGTGATTGGTCTTGCTTATATCTTGCCGTGTCACGGTTTGTGCCGCGAGGTTTTTACAGTCATGTGAAAACTGCTCTAGAGTCGTTAAGTGATGGAGACATGTTGCTTGCCAATAAAAACCTTTTTGTACCCTACGAAAAAAAAAAAAATTCGTTGAAAACCTTCTGCGCATGCTCAAAGTTATTACTCAACGACCCAATCTCGTACCCAGAGACTGTTTCTTTTTTCCTGAGGCGAAGTACGAGGGCACTGGCATAATCCATTTTTTGAGACCAGGATTTTTTTGACTTCCTGCATAAAAGCGCATGCGTTCAAAGACTAGCCAAAAATAAAGGTCCCTGTTTCTAATTTTTTATTTTGTACGGAGGTAAACACAAAACTCTGTTTGAAAACATGATTTTCAATGATTATATTTCCCTTCCAAAAAATGGATTATGCCAGAGCCCTTGTTCTCCGCCGCAGGCCAGAAGAAACGCAGCCTCGGGGTTCGAGATTATTATCGACCAAAACATGTTATTGTAAAATATACACATTTCTTTGTGATCTGACATTTGGTTGACAAAATGGCAAAACTATTAGACTTTTTTGTAACTTAAGCCTAATTCTGTTGTATAGTGCAGTATCCGTTGCTCCTGAAAAAGTCTACTTAACGGAAATGTATATTGTTATCATGAGAGGGAAGTCATTAAACCCGTGAAATAGAAACTAGACTAATACACTTTAAGTCACTGGCACATGGTACAACATTGCATGCAACATTGCACGCAACAGGACTGTTGCAGCGTGTGTTTACCCCAAACTTGTTGCACGCAACGTTGCATGCAACAAATCTGAAGTTAAATCGCGCTCTACTCTTGCAACATTGCGCGCAACAAATTTCATCTGTGAACATGGCTGCAACATTACCTGCAACATTTTGAAATTTCAAGCCAATCAGCTCGCACCAAATTTATAACTGCTGACCAAATATCTTAACATAGGACAAAAGCGATGTTGCGTGACTTTGTTGCAATGTGTGTTACCCCTATTCAAATTTGTTGCTTGCAACGTTGCGTGCAATGTCCTAATTCCATTGTTTTCTTTTGTGTCTATTTTAAATATTACACGTTGACTCAATAATTTTTATTTCACGGGTTAAATGCCTTCCGTCTATCAGTTCATAAGCCAATGAATAAGTATATTTAATATTATTATTCAAGTTACTAAAAGGGAACAGTGATCCAGTTAACTATAATTGTATTAAAGGATAACTTAATCTAAGTATTTGTAAGGCATCAATTATTGACACGTTCTATTCTAGGAACGAGTGCAACGACGTACTTACTGAGCATGCGCGAAGTGCATAAACTTTGTAATCTAGTTTCCAAACTAGAAAGTTTTGATTTTAAAAATGCTAGAATTATGAAGAAATAAAACGCATTCAACTGAATACAAAATTATTATATA